CTGTCACTGAAGAGTAGCTTTGAACCAGCTGCTAAACTCTGAAAGGTCATAACCCAGGAGCAGGGGACTGTAGGAATGTGTGCAGCGAAGATGCAGATGGGTAAACAAGCCATAAAGTAGACTATGGTTTCTCTTTTCTAGCATTTCATTGAGAGCTGACTCCAGGCTATTACCCTGTGAAAGTGAAATGGAAAAGAGCCGATCCTAAACAAACCTCTGGCTTGCTTTCCCCATAACTAATGAAACCCAGGAGTGCCCTGAAGTGAGGTGTGACAATTTGAGAGGCAGAGAAAAGATCACAGAGGTGAGAAGCCTATCACCTCTCTTTTCATATCCCAAGGAGCATATGGGCCAGACTTAGGATGCTCTTGGTTCTGGTGGCCAGGGCAGCAGATGGACACTGCTGATGCAGTGCCCCCTCCTCCTTTCCAGGCAAGCTTTTCTAAAGGTGCCTTAGTTGTGAGCATGCACATATGACAACCACCTTGGAAACTGACCAGGGCTAAGCATAGCATTTCTGTATCCAAGGGTAATGAGAAGGAAAGATGGGATGAACTTCTGGATAAACAGCTATGGGTAATAGACTGGATGTGGCCTTTATGAATGGAGGATGGAAGGAGCTCACAGGCTTTCATGTCTCATACAAGTAAATAAAGTGGATACAGGAGTAGTACTGAAAAAGATGGCTGGACCTCTAGGTGCTGAGTTATCAGAGCAATTCTTTTTCTTAAAGATCTCTGGACATCTTTTTGGATCACAGAATTAGGGCTGGTCTCCTCTCTCAATGTGTCCAGTATCAGAGTTAAGTCAGTCATCAGGCAAGGCTAACCACCAGTCTCTTCCATTTTCGCTTTTCCTTTTCCATAGACTGAGATGGCCATGCGCACTAGGATAAAATCATCAGGGCTGGTGGGGCCATAGGCTAGAAATAACATGGACTTGAAATACCCTGAGGATTGACAACCAGGGATACCACATCAGAATTCCATTTGGAGTAAAATATAGCCCATTTTTGTTGCTGTTGTTGTTACAACAGTTTGATTAATTTTACTATAAATGGTCATTCTGGGGGATCTTTTTCATTACTTGTTAGTAAATTCCACTCTGCACTGGCTATAACACCTTCCTTTGACTTGAAAGTGTTTATTGGATTACTTGCAAGTGATTTTTTTAAAGTCATAAACTTTAAATGCTTTATGCTAAAAAGTCCCCGTTTTACCTAGGCATGATGTTACAAGACAGAAATTTCAGTTATTCAGAAAGTTGAGGCAGGAAGAACACAAGTTCAAGGCCATCCTGGCTTTGCATAGTCAATTTTAGGTTGGCTTGGGCAACTTAGTGAGACCTTGTTTACATGGAAAAATTAAAAAAAAAATCTGGCTATAGTTGTGGAATCATCATAGAGCATTTCCTTGGTACACGCATGCACGCACGCACGCACGCACGCACGCACGCACGCATACATGCTCTTATTTTCCTGTCCTTTTATTAGGTAGATACTTCTGCATGAAGAATTTTAGTTTGGAACCTTTCCCCCTGTAAGTTCTGAAGACATTACTTCCCTATCTTCTAGCATCAGATTTTGTAGTACAAAATGTGTCAGGACTACAAAAAAGAAAAATGCAAAAGACAAGCAGGCAACATACGTATGAAAAAGGGTTATCCCTACTAAATGGCCACCAGACATGCATGAGAGTGACTTTTTCCATAACAGATCAGTAATAGTTATAGAACATTAGTAGCATTGGTGCATATTGAAGAAATGTCCTACATAACGTAATGGGGTGAGGATGGTAGTATGAACTATCTGAAGGACATGCTTGTACCTTTCAATAGTAAAATCCATTGCTTCTACCTTTTTATTTGTGATTGTTTTGTTGTCTCTCTAGCTGTAAAATTGAAATCCTTCTGTTCATTCTTGGTGGTGTGCAATTCCTGAAGACATATTTATGTGAAAACCTTTTAGTCTTTATCTCACGCTTACTAGCCAGTTTCTTTTTGTTTTGTTTCAGCACCAGGGAAATGGTTCTTCTACTATTTATTTGATTTTTTCCCCTGTGTTCCATGCTTCCTACTCATGCATTTTAACTTATCTGATGGATGTTGGCCTTCCTTATTCATAGCCTGCATCTTTTACATCTTCTTTCATCCTTTTGTTTGTCCTTTGCTTCGTAGTCTAAGGGGTATTTAAATATATCTCTTCTTTGTTTTCTAATGATTTATATCATCAAACATTTAAATGCTATACAACTTTTAGTTTTTGTGAATTGTTTCAATTTTAGTCAGCCTGTTCTTATGGGTATATCTTGGTGAGATTAACTTACATGCTTCACACCCAGAACATCTCCAAACTTCTCCTCTCTGAAAATTGTCTGTTTCTGCCAGTGAATGCTTTTCCTCTTCAATTTTTCTGTATAATGTATGGATGACTGACATATGTAGTAGCTATAGAATCATTTATGTAGGAAGTGTCTAATATTAAATGGTTCTACTTAAAATTGTCTTATTAATAAAATCTTCTACAAGTTTTTACTTTGAAGATTTACTTAACTTTTTTCTAGTTAAAAATTCTTCATAACTATTTGAATATATATGTTTTTTAAACATCAACATACTGCCTTACACAGTAGAAAATTCACTGTTATAGGTGTCTATAATTTGTGACTGTGATTTACTGATGTTTTATGTATGTGACATTTAAAAAATATGTATAAATTATGTGAAATTAGTATTGACACTATAAAAATAGATGACACCTGCAATTATTTACAAAATAGACATGTTATAGGGAAATCATGCATTGTTGTACAAGCAATTATTTTATCTTTAAAAATAAAACCTCAGTGACTGATTGACTACTTAAGCTTATTGAAAAATTTTCATTTACAGGATGCCAAGATCTTTTCTGTGACCTCACATTGCCACCCATTTGTTTTCATCCATGCACCTTTATTCCCACTTGGGATCACAGGGAAGGGGCAGGGTAGACTGATCTCACCACAGTTAAGTCATCGCCACTCTGCTCCTTTTGGTCTTCCTTACAAATTTTCTCCATGCATGCTTCAAATCTGGAAAAAAACAAACTTTTGGGCTGTAGAAACAAAGAAGCTGCAATTTCCTTGCCTTAGTCCTTGGCCCGTGATGAAGTAGAGAGCACAACGTGGTGATTGGAGCCAGACTTACCCTTGGCCATGGGCATTGCAGCCGACCCAAACCTAATTAAGAAAGATCCTGAATAAACTTGGGTGAGAGCCAAGATCACTAGTCCCTTCAATCAATATTTTTGATATAAAAATTAGCATCTGGCCTGAATAAAAGGCAGTACTGTTTCATGCTGTAGGAAAAAAAAAATCCTCTTTTCCATCTATTCTGACCTTCTGTTAGGTATTTTACTGATTTATTTCTATGATAAGGTTTTGGTGCAGTTGACTTGCAAATTTTGGCTTTCAGCTCCTCATTTGGACCAAAAGCTGCAAGGAGAATTAGAGTCACAAGTCTTCTCTTAATCTCGAACTGGCATAGGCGTCAGCTTTTTCCAACAAGTAGACTGGTTTGACTTGTTCCCTGATTTTTGATTGAGTTACCTTTACAAAGATTAACTGAAATAACCCTTAAAGAAAATTGCTTTAGTAAGGAAGAGGACATGTGCCTAAGAAAGCACTACCAGAGTCTTAGAACTCCTCTTTCTGCTCTGTGAATGAATGATGAATACTGTTGCCTACCAAGAAATCTCTGCAAATTTATGCAACAATTCCCAGGAGACTCTGTGTGTAGGAGTGCTTAGTACAGTGTCTAAAGATAATTGGCTTATTAGCTCTCAGGATGTTATAAACCTGCTTCAGAATGTAGTCTTAGTTTTGAACCATAGAATTCACAACTAAGCTAAGGAGATAGAGACAGCAAGGGTTCATGTTTGATTCATTTTAATGCTGATGTTATTCCAAAGAGTTGTATTTTAATGAGGTTGAAAGGAGGAACAAATTAAGACATCACTGCCTTTTCAAAAGACTCCAGGAAATACTTAGTCATGAAATGAAATGATTTCCAGGGTTCACTTTAAAGTAATCTAATGAGAGGAAGAGTGAAGGGGAAGATGAAAAGCCTGGTCACGAAGTGACAATGCTTAGAGCATGATGATAGGTGTGTTGGATTCATCATGCTATCCTATTCTACTCTGTTTATTTTTTCCATTATAAAATTTAAGTGGCTCTCTTAGCAGTGAATCTTAAATGATAGGCCACATGAATCATCTCCAACTGAACATAATCGTCTTGCTTGTGCTAATGCCTTGCCCTACACCTCTTCTGGGAGCTTTGTTTGGTTGATCGGAGGCTAGCTTTGTTCCTTCAGTTTGAGTTAGTGGTAACGGATAATCTAACTGTACATTTTCTCATTAATATATAATGATTACACTATTGTACATTAATTGTACCACAGTGTCTGGTTTTGGTGGTCTGCTGCTAAAGTTTGAAAAGCCAGATACAGGGGGAGGGGCTTGGACCTGCCTCAGCTGAATGCACCAGGCTCTGCTGACTCCGCATAGGAGACCTTACCTTGTTGGAGGAGGGAATGGGAGATGGGTTGAGGGGGGAAGGATGGGGAGGGGACGATGGAAGAGAGGGGAATCTGTGGTTGGTATGTAAAATGAATAAAAAGATTCTTAATAATAATAAAAGGAAAAGCCAGACCCCCAACCCATGATTTGTAGTATTTACTCATTTCTGTGTTGTCAGGTTTCCCACTATGGCCAATTTCAAGCTCCCATTGTGATGTCACTGAAGGATCTGGAAGGATCTATGCACAATTGGTTCTCATGAAATTATATGTCTCTCTAGCTATAGCTACCTCCACTAATTGCCTCTAGTGAAATTCCTAGAGGCAAGTATCTACCCATCTTTTCCTCCCAGAATGACTTAAATCACATCAACACAAAACCATTTATGATTTTGACAGTGTCAATTTTAGTGATTTGTTTATTAAAGTAACATTTTACAGGCAGAATGAAGTGAACTGGTCATCTCAAATGTTTCAGTGAAACATAAACATATTCACACCCTATATACTGTATTTCACAATGCTACAAAATAATATACTACAACAATTGCCAAGAAATAGTCTCTTCTTGTGTGTGTGTGTGTGTGTGTGTGTGTGTGTGTGTGTGTGTGTGTGCGTGCTAAAGGTCAACCTTGAGTGCTATTCTTCAGGAACCATTCACTTTATTTTTAGAGAGAGGTTCTCTCGGGACCTGGAGCTCCTTGATAAGACTAGGTAGGAATCTACTTGTTTTTGCCTTCTCAGAGCTAGGATTGCAAGCTTATACCACCATGCTTGGCTTTTTATGTAAGTGTTGGGGATCAAGCTCATCTAGATCTTCATGTTACATAGGAAATACATTACTGATGAGTTATCTCCCCCAAAGCAAAGAAATACTCTCTTCCTGATTTACAAAACACTACACAACTGGGTATGGTATTAGAAAAGAATAGAACACAAATACATTGTTACTATCTTCCAAATTATTATTGTTATAAATCAAAGTGTATATTTAAGATAGTTCAAGTATTCATCAGAACTTAGATTTTAAGGTAAGAGCTAGAATTTTATATATCTGTTACTTGTGAAAGAAGATGTAGAGAGGCATTGTGTGTGTGAGGATCTGGCAAGAATAGCACTCGACTGAAGAGTTGTAATGGTCAAAGGTTGAGCTTTTCTTTTTAAAGTTATGGAGAGAGGGAAGGAGAATATTAAAAGTAGGAATCTAAAATACAGGGGGAACGGGGGCATCTTGTGAAGATCTTTTCAATGTTGGGTCTATTTTTCGTAGAGACCGACATTTCTTAGAAAATGGCCCATTGAGAAGGAAAGGAGAAGCATGGACTAAATTCATTTCAGTTTACTAGTATCAACAAAGAATCAGAAAAGTTCCCTGCTATGTTATAGGAGCCAATTGGTCTACCAAAAGCTCTAATAATGGTTTACAAATTCTGGCGTATGTTGGAATTACCTGGGGAGGCTTGTTAAAATGTAGTGTCCTGGGAACCACTGGGATCAGATTCAGTGGTGGTCTGATGTGAACCACGTGGTTTGTCATGTTAACAAGTTTCCTAAATAAATTCTGAAGTCTATGGTCTCTCTCAAACTGAAACATGTTGAAAGGCAGTAAAGCTAAGTATCCATGACACTGTCATGCCATGATATGATTGTCATTCCTTCATTATGCAAAATTTTCTTCCTTACAAATATCAGTTTGGAAACTTCAGCTTCTGTTTCCCCAAAAGTTGATTTCTAGAACACCTATCTCTCAGTCATTCAGTCAGATATTCATCTAGCTGTTGATTCTCTTCTTCTTTTTCAAAGAAGAGTAAAAGTGTCCATGCATATATATGTGTGTATATGGGTACCATGCACATAAGATAGATGGGATATAAAACACTATAATTCAGAGAGTCCTTGATCCCAACAGATCCAAACTCTGATTAATGAAACTCAGTAGTTACTACCAAATTGAAATCAGTCTTAGTTAACTTAGAGGACTTTTCTTATAAAAATCAGTATTTCTTACAATTCACAACTTTCTATTTTATATATATATACTTTCTATTTTATATATACTGCCACTCAAAGAAGTCAGAGTCTCTCCTCACTCAGGAAGCATTGTACTGGAATTACAGTTCTTTTCCTAAGTGTATATTCACTGTAGACTCTGACAAAAAGTAAGTCTTTTCATATGTGTATGGGAAGGTAACAAGTTGCTCCAAGATCCTCAGATCTTAATGAAAAGGAAGAACCTCCTCCTTGCTCTGCATGCTGGGCAGGAAAGTAACTTCTTCTCCATGATGAACAGAACACAAATTCCTCCATGCAAGTAAAAGGCATGAGCATTGTTAATCAGGAATATACCTATCCCTCTGGTGGTTTAAAATTTTAGGGCAGGTATGACACCATAGATGATGATAACAGACAGAACTAGAGATGAAGGGGGATGCTTACTGTTAGAAGCATAGATCTCTCTCTGCCCTCTTTACTGCCTATTTCCTGTTTTGAACTCTAGGTACTCTACATTTTGTTCAGTGATTTATTAAGAACAACTTCATTGAATGCACATATTAAAAAGAAAAGACATACATATCTTTCTTGCTTTATGCATCTATATGATATGTGTTTTCTCTGCAGAAGTAATGCTGTACCAGTTCACTCAGAAGAGTTGGACTAGTTATCAGGTTAGTCTTCAGATGGGCAGCTGCACACATAGTACCCATTTCTTTTCCTCTTCATCACAGCATTCCTATAGCTTTTCACCACTTCTGAGGCACTTTATAACTGGGAACTGGGAACTTTTTTAAAGGATTGATTTTTTTTTAAAATTATATTTTAACTATGTGTATGTGTGTGGGTCAGAGTGTGGATATGCCCATGTGAGTCCTGGTGCCCACAGAAGCCACAGGCATCAGATGCCCTAGAGCTGGAGATACAGGTGGTTGTGAACAACCCAACCTGGGTGCTGGGAACTGAACTCAGGTTCTCTCTGGAAGAGCAGTAAATGCTCTCAGCTGCTGAGTCATCTCTCCAACCCCAAGAGATCCACTAAAAAAAATTATAATCCACCAGGGGGCTATACTTTTTAAAAAGTTTTGCAAAGGTATCACTTTCTTTTCGAACGTTCTTTGAGCATCAGTGTTGCTCCATCAAGCATTGGTGTTGCAGGTTGAATTTCTGTCTCTGTGCACAGCATGAAAGCTTGAGCCCATCTGTGTCACACAGAGCCAAAGCTCTTTTGAAGTGATTTGTTTACAGTGTCATTTGATGGAGTGGAATGTTCTGTAACTCATTCGAACTGTTACAGAAGCTTGGCTAAAAGGTCACCACTGCTCTTTGGAGTTTCCAAGTCTGGGCACCATCTGGGAGCTTGTTAAAGATAAGGTTTTCCACTGGCTTTTTCCATACCAACTAGAACCAATTAGCAGAGGACTAATTTTTCAGAGATGCTTGTGTCGTTTTTTGTGTGTCATGAGAGGGATGAATCATAGATGCACAAAAGTGTGTCTTCTCACCAAATCTGAGTAGATGTGCCATGGAGGATGTTATTTACTGGACCTGGTATCTACAAATACATAGCCTTGGAAGAGAGAGAGAATTCATTTTTTAATACCTTGTTGGACCAGTTCATTCTTCTGGTGTAAGTTGGGAAATTTTTTTAAAATTGAGTTTCACTCGGAATTCAGTAGAAAAATGGGAAGTTATTAAGGCCAAACGTGCTAAACCCACTCTGTATGGCACCAGCATCATTTGAATTGTTTTAATATTACAGTTTTAGTCTGGGTCCTAAACTGATTTGTGCTTAATTTCCTTCTTCCTCTCTAGAAGACAAGAGCCATGAACTTCCCAGTCCCCAAAAGCTTAACAACAAAGGTGTAGGAGAGCACCAAGAAAAAAAAGAGATTGGCTTCAAGGACACCTCTAGTCACCACTGGCTAGTTTTGCATTCTCTCCCAATCATTAACTATGTCTTTTGATACCTGACCTTGGATAAAGTTGACAGGTGGCCAACAGTAGAAACAGCATTGCCTTCCATCCTTCCTGGAACTTCCCACGATACATACAAACTGTTCCTGGTATTGGTATGGGTTGAGCAAGAGAATAAGCTCCTCTCTGTCCCTTTTTCTCATGTGTGCAGATGGCATAGTTGAACACACAGTAAGATTATCCAGTTAAAAATCAAAATCCTTTCATTTGGTCGGAGCCCTTGAAAGGGTCTGACTCAAAACCTGGAGAGTAGCAGCTAAAACACAAGCTCCTTGCCATTAAAAAATACTCCAAGTGTGCATTTGTGTATTTCCAGCCAAGGAGAGGGAAAATGTAAATCTAGAATTTGATGTGTATTTTGATTTTGTAGCAGCAGGTTAGAGACATTAAAGAAATGACTATTTCCCTCACTCAATTAAGCTGGTTTGGAAAATAAAATTGTCCCGAGGAAAGGGTAAAATACAGCTATATTCCTTGTGAGACAAAGGAGGAAGAAAGTCTTCTGGCAGTCTTTATGTTCCGTTCATTATGCCAGGAAACTTATGTTTCAGGTTCAATGCTCATCTCATCAAAGCTTGCTTCACTGTCAGAACTCTTCTCATTGGAGAGTGCAGGGCGTCCTGACTTCTTGAGTGGGAAGTATTTCACATTCAGGAGATCACCGAGTTTATCAACAACTTCCAAAACCTGCAATGAGATACCCTTCCATAAGTTATCTTTAAACTCCAAAATGGCTATTTGTCCCTGTGCTTTATCCAACCTTCGTTTCAACAATTCTCGCTCATATAAACCCTCCTCTTTCTCACTAATTAGACTCCCAGCGCTCCACCCGGGGCCTAGCCGTGGACATCTGTATCCAGATTCCTCAGTCCTTGGATGGGGTTTATGGCACAATTATTAGGGTGTTTGGCCATCCCATCACCAGAGTAGGTCAGTCCCGGCTGTTTTTCGACCATTGCCAGCAGTCTTTTGTGGGGGTATCTTTGTGGA